GGGGGTTTGGCGAGTGTAGCAAGCAGGGTGTGCAGCCCCTAGTATTTGTTTAATTTTCTTTCTTTTATATAGGAATTAGATGCAGTGCTCCTGCCAGCTAACTGCTCAGTTGTCTGCCAAAAGAGTAGAGTTTTCCAGAGCCTTGGTAGCCCCTGGGCAGAGATAATGGACGGGGCAGATTTGGTGCTTGGCTTGTACTGAGCATGCTCAGTAACACTGCTGAAGCCTCTGTCCTCAGTCCCCCCCTCATGCTCTCACTCTCTTCCCCCCCAACATGGCATGCACAAGTCGGATCCCCCGAGAAATGGTGCTCCTGGAAATGATCCCGTCTAGGCAGAGAACTGCGCCAGTCACTAGAGGCTAAGAGAAGCTATTCCAGAGAAGGGGGCCAGCAGGCAGTACAGGCCCCACTGCTCCGTGTGCAAGAGGGACAGTCGTATCTCTGGCAAAGGGTAGCCAAGGAGGCAGGCTGCCTCTGCCCACAGCAGTAGGTGGTGCTTAACTGGGGGCTTCAGGCAGTCAGCACCACACAGCCTTCCCTCGCGGCAGCTTTACAGCAGCACCAGTTGTCACCTGAAATGTGAGGAGTTAGAGTGGGGCATTACCATGTCACCATCTTTGTTATTCATGCTGCATCCTTGGGAACCCAAGAGTATTATGAAGCTGGGTCAAGACAAATGGTCAGCACCTGCTCGGGAAGAGGCTTGGATTGATTCCTGCAGGCAACTTCGAGAGACAGGCTGCACGGGAAGGGTCTGGTTCCCCAGAGATGAGTCTCTCTCCTGGGGACCCTGGTTCTCTGCTGCCTTTCTCATTTGGAAGCAGGTGACAGACACCCTCCTGGCAGAAGGAGCTGATGGCACCAGGTGCAGTGCAGGGGAGAGCCAGGCATGGAATTGCTGCAAGCTGGACAGGGCTGTCTTCAGCGTTTACAGGGCCCTACGCAGTACTGTTAAACTGGTGCCCCTATGCCTGATGGCAGCCTGGGAGGGGATGGTGAGTTTTTAGAGATGTGATTTGATCATCTTCAGCCACACGCTTATAAAGAGTTTTAAATCAAATTTTAAACTCAGGTCCTATGGAATAACAGCACATTCAGAAATGGACAGTACGTACCTGGGGTTGGCAAATGGCTGTTGAATGGCTTCATTACCTCTTGAATGGCTCTTTCCCAGGTGCAGAGCTGTGCTTATAGCTCTGTCCGGCCTATAAAGTTTTAAGCTAATGAGATGCTCTCCGGAGGCACAGAGCCACAGAACAGGGACAGGAAGACCCAGTGGTGCCCCAAACTTTCAGGTGCCCTACACAGCTGCATTTTCTGGTATGGTTAAAGACAGCTAGGGTTGCCAGTGTTCAGTATTGAACTGGATAGTCCATTATTTTTGTGTCCTCTCCGGTAAAAAAATTCAGAAAACACCGAACACTCAAAATGTCCAATACTTTCTGATTTTTTTCCCAGCCAGGAGGTGAAAATCCCAGGATGTCCGGCTCAATATGGAGGCAGCCTGGCAACTCTAGTGCTTACCGGGGAGCTGTCCAGCCCGGCACATGGAGGCAAGATGATGGGTGGCCACCAGCAGACTGTTAAGGCCAAAAAGCCTCACTATGTGTTTCTTAAAGGGGTCACCTTTTTTTTTTTTTTTTTACTCAACAAACTTTTTCCTGGCATGTTTTTTGTTGTTAGTTATTTTTTCTGAAACCATCTGGCAATCCTAAAGACAGCTCTAGTCTTGGAGCTGTCCCGGCACATGGAGGCAAGATGATGGGTGGCCACCAGCAGACTGTTAAGGCCAAAAAGCCTCACTATGTGTTTCTTAAAGGGGTCACCTTTTTTTTTTTTTTTTTACTCAACAAACTTTTTCCTGGCATGTTTTTTGTTGTTAGTTATTTTTTCTGAAACCATCTGGCAATCCTAAAGACAGCTCTAGTCTTGGAGCTGTGCAAGGAATGAGATGGCCCTTTTGTGCTTTCTCCCAAGAGGGGATTGACCTGCCAGCCATGGGGGCCAGATCTTCGGCTGCTAGAAGAATAGGATACATTTCCAGGTGAGAAATACTGAGCCAGCGGATAGTGGCAGCACGAGGCTGTGCAGAGATAGTGAATTTAGCTGCCAGGTTGACAGACATTAAAGCTGGCCAGAAGGGACTGTATCTTAAAGAGAAATTTGAATGAGGAGTGAGCTTTGTCTGTGCTTCCTATTGACTACGCAAAAGAAGTCCAATTGAAGGTCTGAAAAGCTATTAGGTTCTATTAGTAAAAGAGAGAGCACTGGCAACTAAAAGAGAGCAAGCGGAGCATTGCCATCCAGCGCCAGTCCCGTGGGAAGATTGGCCATAAAATAAAAGAATGTGCTAAATTTAGCACTAGCCAAAACAAAACGACCCAAGTTCTTGCAATAGCAGCTCCCACAGCCTGGGAGACAGGCAACACCAAGCTAAGGTAGGTGGGGGAGGTGAATGCCTCAGGGCAGCCCCGCATGTCTTGTTAATAGCAGCAGTGAAGCAAGTAGGAACCAGGGAAGTCACAGAAACTGTAGCAGCCTGTCGGTGAAAGCTGGCTGCCGCTAACTGTACTGTATGGTGATCTTGCGAAGAAAGAGGATAGGGCCAGCAGGCAATACAGACCGTGGTGACCTCAGGCAATGGAAAGGTGTTTAGATCTCAGTGGGAGGTACATTATTGCATAGAAGAAAAGGAGAGCCCAACAGGGGATAAGAGGCACTAGGGGTTGATTTTTGCCTAGCACTGGCATGACCTTTGATCCGTGTCCTTTGAATGGCACATATAACACACATGATCAATGGATCCCTTTTGGAAGGTGCAAAGTGCTGTGTCAGTGCTCAGTAGCGTTACTGGCACACGGACAAAGGGGAAGAAGCCTTAAGATTACATTGTAACTGGAAACCCACGGACACTTTGGAAGTTACACAACTCTAAGCTACAGGGGGATTATGACCAGAAGGGTGTGCAACCTAGAGGTGGGAAAGCAGGTGCAGCATATACAGTACTTGTTTTGTAACGCAAGGAGAACCCCAGAACACCTATATTTCATAAGGCTAGCAAAGGAATGTATCCCTGCCCCTGTGCTTGGCCATCTACTTCATACAGTGACTTAGGGACTCTGGACATGACCTCCAGAGACTGCAGCCTGCAGCCACGTAGAGCAATGCCACACAGATGAAACGTACCAATGATGCTGGCCCAGTATCTGTTTTGTTGTCACTGATGACTTGAGATGCCAACAGTGTAGAAGCCAGGCAGGTCTGCAATGGCACCTGATCTTGTGTTAAATGAGAGCCAGGGCTCAATGGATGAGACTCTTGCAGTCACAAAACTCCAAGTGCCCCAGCACAACCACAGCCCAGTGATTTAACCTGACCCATGCTCGGGCTCACAACATAGCAGCCACTGGTGCTACTGCAGCTGGGGGAAACTGGGGCTATGTCTAGACTGCAGGCTTCTTTTGGAAGAAGCTTTTCTGGAAGGCTACGTCTACATTGGCCCCTTCTCCGGAAGAAGCATGTTAATTTCCAACTTCAGAATAGGGAAATCCACGGGGGGTTTAAATATCCCCCGTGGGATTTAAATAAACATGTCCGCCGCTTTTTTTCCGGCTTGGGGAAAAGCCGGAAAAAAGCTTCTAGACTGGCGCGATCCTCCGGAATAAAGCCCTATTCCGGAGGATCTCTTATTCCCTCTTCTGTTTGCATTTGCTTCTAGACTGGCGCGATCCTCCGGAATAAAGCCCTATTCCGGAGGATCTCTTATTCCCTATTCTGTTTGCAGTTCCACCTCCAAACCCACTTACAGGTGCCCACAGCCAACACAGGGGGATGGGAGCCACAGGATCATGAAATGCAGACAGCCGGTGGCAGCAGCAGCCCTGGGCACTTTGCCATTTGATTCAGGAAGTGCTATTTCAGTGGAGCAGCCCAGGAGCTGCTACATCCAAGCATTCGGATACATGCCTGCCCTCCTGCCCCTGGGGCAGTAAATCACACAAAGCAGCTAAAATTGCCCAGCCCATAGACCCTTGGGCCTCCTGCATTGGACATGTCAGGAGGGAGGCTGAGTAGAGCAATGGGAGGGATTATCAGCCGGCAATATGCTGATGCTTCCTGGTGATTGACAGGTGCTGAGTTACATCCTCACGGGCCAGCAGAAGCAGCGGGATCCTGTCATAACAGAGGCCGTAAAGACTCTGGCCTTGGGGAGTGCCTCTCGGTTCCATGGCAGCACGCTGCATATCTCTAGACCTGGAAAATCCCTTCTGGTTATCTGGCACATGCTGCATGTCTCTGGCCCTGGGTATTTCCTCCTAGTACTCTGGTGGCATCCTGCATGTCTCTGGACCTGGAGAGTCCCTTCTGGTTATCTGGCACATGCTGCATATATCTGCCTCTGGGGACTCCCTCCTGGTACTGTGGCACATGCTGCGTATCTCTGGCTCTGGGGAGTACCTGCCAGTTCTGTGGCAAATGCTGCGTGTGTCTGGCCCTGGGGATATCCTTCCATTTTTGTGGCAGATGTTGCGTGTCTCTGGATCTGGTGAGTCCCTCCTGGTTCTGTGGCACATGCTGCGTGTCTCTGGACTAGGGCTGGGGTTGCAAAGCCTCATCCCCACCTTCTGCTCTGCCCCTTCCTGCCTCATGCGAACTAGGGCACCTCTCTACTCCTCCACTGAGATGCGGGGTAGGATGCCATGGGGCAGGGGGACGAAGTCAGGGCGATGCATGCGATACCACTCCCCAGCCGTGAGTACAGGGAGAGAGGCGCAGGTCCCTATCCTGCCTGGTCCCTGAGCATGGGGAAGTTGGGTGGCATGCAGCTTCAGGCTTCCCATCCTGAAACCATGGGGGGATTGAGACTTGGGGGCAGCAGCAGCCTCTCCCCAGTATGCCTACAGCAGGAGTTCTGGGGGCGGAGTGTGGGCAGGGCCAGGCTGGTGGTTTGGGGACGCAGAACCTTCCCCTGCCTAGGCGACTGGATGCCCATTCTAAGAGACATCCCCACGCTATGGTTATGTCTAACCTATCCCTTGCATGTAGCTCGGCGGCCTGCCTTCTGCCACCTTCCTTAATTCTGCTGCACCCTCTCCACAGGTGGGTGGCCTTTGAGCAGTCCAAGCTGCGTGGAGAGATGTTCATCTTGGAGCAAGGCGAGTATCCTCGCTGGGATACCTGGTCCAGCAGCTACAGGAGCGACTGCCTCAGGTCTATGCGTCCCATCCGGATGGTAAGAGGCCTGTGGCACTGGGCTGAGACTGGGCTGTGTTGAGGAAATTGGATGGGGCTCTGGAGATGCCATGGGATGGTTGGATGGGGCTCTCGCTGCTGAACACAGCCTGCCAGGGCTGTGCCCCACAGTTGTGGGACAGAGGAACTCTGCTAGCTGGGAGGAAAGTGTAGCCTGTGCAGTCCAGCTACCCGCCTCCTGTAGGCACACAGCCTTGGGACATGGCGAGGCCATAAGCCAGGCTGCAGGGCAAGGGCAGGTGAGGATCCTTCAGCTCCATGGGGTTGGTTATCCAGCACCGGCAGCCACCCTGGCCTGTGGCACTTTCACATGCACTGTTGTTTGGGGTGGTCACAAAGTGGCTCACTTCATAAATAGGTCAACCCAGGCAGGGACCAAAGCAAGGGAATGTGGGGATCAAAGTTTCCTTTAATTGTTTCCATCCATGTGCAGAATAAATGTTGTTGTGTGCACCAAAGCATGTACGGGTGTGCACCACGAATAGAAACACATGCTGCTGGCAGTAGGCGGTGATGGGTGCTCTGCTAATTACCTAGGCGGCACCTGAATCTGTCCTGGGTGGCCACCCACGCACTCAGCTTATGGGGAATACTGGTGGGCAGCACAGACCCTCTTGTCTGCCACAAATGAAGTAACCTCTCCTGCACCACTAGGATAGCAACACTCCTCACCTCCCCTCTTCAGGTGGAGAGCCATGCTGGGGAGCAAGGAGGCTCTGTCTGTGACTCAGCCCTGCATGTTGGGCTTTGGACCAGAGAAACTATTTCTCCTGCTGCCTGGCTGCCCATCCAGCTGCCCCTTACTGAGTGCTGAACCCCTGGGGTCACTCCTGTCTGGGATCAGAAGGGAACGAGGCCATAGGTGTGTTGGCGAATGAGCGTGGGTCAGCCCAGTGAGCCCTTCTACTCTGCTGTCTTCCCCAGGAGGCTGATGGCTATAAAATCTCCCTCTTCGAATCTGCCGACTTCAAGGGCAACAAGATGGAAATCCAGGAAGATGACGTGCCCAGCCTCTGGGCTCATGGCTTCTGTGACCGGGTGGGAAGGGTGAAAGTGTCCAATGGAACGTAAGCA